ATATTAAATAGATGACCTAGACATCCCTTATGATAAACTACCTATTCTTGTAGTTTGTTATAAGAAATTGTTTCATACAGATTAGAGGCAGAGAAGTCTAGGATCTGCACTTGGCAATAGATGGTTCAGTCCTCATCTGAATGTATTCTCTCAGCTTAAAGACAGAGAGGGAGTGAATTCTTCCTCTGTTAGAGAAATGTTTTTTTTTTTTTTTTTCCCTACTCAGGCACGAAAGACCTCAAAAGACATGGAGATTTCTCCTGATGAGAAGATTGCCATCAGTTCCCCAGACACTAGCTAGGTGTTCTCTGCTCCATTTCAGCTCTGTTACTACAGCTGGAGGCAGTGTCAGGTACCGCAGGGGGAGGACTCACTTCCCAAGACCACCCCTCCTACCTTAGACCCTGGTAGTTTTCCCTGTGCTCCTGATGAACTGGCTATAAACGAGCATTCCCACAACCTCCTCTTGGGTTTCAGCTAGTTTGCTTCAGTGGCTCCCAGAACTCATAGAAGAATTTAGATTGACTACTCTGTGGTAAAGGTTATTACAAAGGACGCAGGTAACTAGGTGCCCCAGTAAGCTGTGTCAGAAGCGACACAATTTCCATGGCATCCTGGACCCAACCCCCCAGAACCTCCCCTGTCCATGTTCCATAATCTGGAATTTTTCCATACTCTGGGGTTTTATGGAGACTTGGTTGCATAGGCATGCCTGAAGCATGGACAACCATGTTAAAATGTGGTGGGACCAAAAGAGGACTTAACGTAGCAGACTAAAGGGAGTGCAGAGATCTCCGTGGCCTGTCTGTGCAGCAGTTCTGCCTTCCTGGTTGGCAGCAGGACCTCTCTAGTGTAAGGAGGGTCTTAGGACCTGCTGTCACAGAGGCTTCTCAGACACGTTTCTGTATGTGTGGCTCCAAAACAGAGAAGTGAGTGAAGTTTAGGGTTTCTAAGATTTGTTATGGGGAAGACAAATTTTAGGTGTTACGGCCTGCTATGGTAGGGGGAGCTCTGAGCCAGGAAGTATAGTTGAAAAATATGGGTGCCTTATATGTTTTATATATGTCACATATATTTCTGAATATATGTGTCATAATATGACACTGAGCAAAGACTCAGCCTTTCTTGGTCTTTATTCAGGTTATCAGTTAAACTGGACTCTAGTGAGGAGAGCAATCTGCGTTCCCCAGTCCACAGACATCTTTGCAGGTTCACGCTGAATAATGTTTACATACAGAATCCACACACACACACGAAAAAAGTATGCCCACTTAGCGGCCTGTCACCCTAACAAATGTTTGGAAGCTGATGCCCACCACCGGGAGTGCCTCATGTAATTGTAGAGGCCAAAGGTAACCTGTATTAAGCTCGTGTCTCAATAAATTTAGTTTTAAACTATTTATGCAAGTTTTTTTTTTTTTTTTTTTTGTGGGCTCTGTATGGATAGCCAGTGGCCTAGTCAATTAGATACATAAAATTAACAATCACAGAGCCAAAATATACCCATTTGCACTTTGACCTACTCTGGAAAAGCCACTCATCCATGTGAATGCTAGCATCATGAGAACCTGGTTATTGTAGTTAAAATTGTCACTGCACTGTTAAACTGGATTGAATTGAATGACAGTTTTTCCGTATTTGTGGAGTATAACTTGTAATATTTTCTTCTGATTTAACTAAGTGGTTCCTGTTTATAGGTATTAACTGTATCAATGAGTGCTCTGTTTGCTTCATTTTCTTGTGTCGTTTCTCTCTTGAGGTGGGAAGGTTCTAACACACTAGTTTAGTCATTTTGACAAAGTGTCACTACTCTGATGTTGCTGGCTTGCAGCAGATATCCGAAATTCGTGGAACAGTTTGCAAAAGCCTTGCTGACTGGCATGACCTTTTGTTAGCAGGTCTCTCCTCTTAGAGAATATCAGTGAGCAGCTGGGATGACAGGGAACGAGACTTGTTTTAAGCTTCTTTAACCTCCATAGGACCTTAGATAAATCCCTTGACCTCATTAGTAATGCCCCTTAATACCCACTAGAGCCAGAGGGCTGATGGGAGGATCATAAGAAATAATGTGTGAATCGCACCCTGTCTGTGTGATTTATTCCCTAGTTTGTATTAATTGGCAAGACTTGTTCTGCCTGTTAGTTCTTTTCTTGGCTTCTTTTGCTGATATGAAATGATATTCTTGTAATTCACCTGATGGAGCTTGCACTTCTCTCAAGGAAGGCTGAAGTATCACTTGTGCTTGTCTTCACTGCTGTTCATGAAGTTAATGGATTTTAAGACCACACCTCATTCATATGGTAGCCTGATTTTTCCTTCAGTAACAGCACTTCACTCAATTGGCCTCAACGAGTGTTGGATCTAAAAAAGAACCTTTAAATTATAAAACATTGAAAGAAAGTCAGTCTGTCACTGTGAGGCCCTAGCTTGGGCCCTCTCCCTTCTGCCTGGTCACATAGTTGGTGTATCGAGCGCAGCGGGTCACTGCACAGCGGCTTGGCCACGCCCCTCTTGGTGTTCACTGTTGGGGCCTCGGGCAGCTTATGTTGAGCAGCCCGCTGTAGCTGCCTGCGTCACTGAATCTTCTTGTTTGGCCCCTGCTTCCTCTTGTGGCACCTGTATTCTCTAAATGCGCTGTTTGAGGGGTTTTTTTTTTTTTTGATTTTTTTTTTTAAATTTCTTTGTTTTTAACCTGCCCTGAATGATCTTCCAGCCACTAATAATTCTGGTTTTGCTAATTGGCTGTAATTTCTGTATCTCTGCCTGTAAATGAATAATATATTAACCTTCTGTTTAGAATTCTGATAGGGACCTTTCTAGCCTTCCACTGTTGTGTTCATTTTCTCTGGACCTGTTCTGTTCTCGTTTCTTTGTTGGCAGTTTGGCCTGAGCTTTTCATTATGTTTGCTTTTTCTTCACTACGGTTATCATATGTAAAGATTGCCTTTGTCTTTAAATGCCTTCTTGGGAAACAAGTCAGGAAACACTTGGAATTAGCATATTATAAACATGTTCTGTGATTTGCTTCCAAATATATTTAATGGCCCCGTAACGCATGCACAAACTGCCGGAGTAGTGCCCCCAGCTTACAGACATAGCTGTCAGCCAGCGATGTCAGCCAGAATTTGCTCTGATCCATATGCCACCTTTTTTTGCTGCTTTGTACCTCTGTGTCATTAAAGATGCAAGAACATTAAGCCAGTTAATTGAAGATGTGTTATGGTTGAAAGTTAATTTGATGAAATTTTAATTTAGAGATCTTACTAAATGTTAGCATACGAAGAAATGTTAATGGGAAACAATCAGTGTTCATCAGTTGGTTGTGTCATGGTTGCTTACATTGCATCTTAGCACTGTTGCGTTTAGAAACAGGCTTGCTGGAGGTGACACCAGGTGGCACGGTAGCCCCAGTGGGGAGAGGCTGAAACGGACCAGCAGGTGCCGGGCCCCAGCAGCTTATGGAATTCTCAGACGTTTTCCTGGCCACACTCAGATAAGAGTGACATTATTTTGGAATATTTATGTCAAGGAAAGACGTGTGGGTTGTGAAGACAAATTTCAATTTCACTGAAAGCCAAAGGGGACTATAACCTGTTGGAATTTTCATTTGAAAAGCCAAGAGCTTTTTTTTCTTTTTTTTTTTTTTATGGCTTTGTGTGATGGCTGGTGGATACTTTAGTATCTCTTGGTAACTTTTAGTGTTTTCCTAGCCTTTGGCTAAGCAGTATAAAAAGATATATAACATTGACTTTTCCTATCATGTGGAAGGTATTCAGATAAGGAAGGAAGGAAGGAAATCAATAATACACAACTTGTATAAATGATTTCTCCCCCTTCAGAGTAGATTGTGTGGAGGTAAAGTGGTGATAAGAAGACGGGGTGTCTCTTTTTTCAGGGGGGTGGGGGGGATGAGGAGACTGGGTTTTTTGTTTATAGCTTTCAGTGAACTACTAGATCAGATCTCAGCATTGAAATACAAGTATCAATCCAGTCTGAAAAAATATAATTCTGATTAATATGCTTCACTAATGAAATGTTTATTGTGAATTTAATCTATATGGGAGATTGATTTGACTTGGACATGCTTTATTACCAGTTTTCTATTTTATTTTTTTAAATTTCACCTGTGCTATCAGGAGAGAAACATGCATAGTCTTCCAGGTTTTTTTTTTTGGTAGCATCTGTTTCTTCTGTGGTAAACAATATCTTTTTTTTGTAATTTTCAGGAAGGGTCTCACTACTAGATTGGACTCGTAGTGATCCACCTTTTTACAGCCTCCCAAGAGCTGGGATTACAGGCACGCGCCACCACGCCCAGTCTCAATTGCCATTTTAGCATGCCCCAGGGGTGGGGCCAGCATGGCAGGACTGGGGATTGAACCCCAACTGTGCCTGCTTGCAGGCACTTTAATCCACTCAGCTATTTGGCCAGCCCTTGTGGTAAATAATATTGAAGAACAATATTTGATGTGTAATGTTCTATCAATAATGAAAATTGCTGGAATATTTGAAATTGTAATTTTGTATAGCTGTGGGTATTATTTTGTACATATAAAGTGAAAAACCTGAAGGGAACCCTTTGCTATGAATGCCGTGGTCCCTGAGTTGTCACATCAGAGGTCACTTAGCACAGGGTCCTGGTGCGAGCTGACTCTCCTAACTCCTGCCACATTTCCGCCAACAATTTTCCCCATTACCACACTAACAGCTTAACTTCTTTGAAGCATACCTGCAAATTGGACGTGTGGAACTGGTCAGAAGTTCCTTCAAGGTCCGATGTCACGAGAGTAGAGGCATCGTCCTCAGGTCACAGCTCGCTGGCCACCTTTCTCATTTGTTCGTAATGCGAGGGAGCTGAGGAAGCAGTAGCAGGCGACACAGCCCTGCAGAGCTGCACTGGTGTTCACTGGATTCCCGCTTTAGAACACGCAGTCCGAATCAGTCGAAGGAAGGATATTCCACCTAGGATTAACCGTGTTTGCTTTTTCTTTTGATTTTAGGAGTTTATTTAATGAAAAGTGCTGTAGACTGAAAAACCAAACATGAGGGTAGCAGGTAAGCTCTTTAATCTGCTGGATATAATTTTGACTTTGGGGAAACTGTTTATAACATCTAAAGGAGAGGGTAAATGGTATTTCTTTATGTTGAGTACAGAGCTAAAATAAATTATGTTAAGTGCAATAAATCAGACCCACAAGCTTACATATCACATGGGAAAGCTAAATTGTAACTAAAGAGCAAAAGTAAAAGAAGTTTTTGGGACTAGGAAAATAGATCTTTCTCAGCTGAGAAGGTGCTCAAGAGACAGAGGGGAAAGGGAAAGCGGAAGCAGATGGGAAAGGAATTAAGATGTGCTGTGCACGTGTCCCCGCCTGGCGCTGAAAGAGAAGCGTGTGCCGCCCACGTGCTCACAGCGTGTAAGTCACTCGCGGCTAGGTAGTCAGCCAGTCACAGATTGGACATGTAGAATTATGTAAAGTTTTAGTGAGAGACTTTTGAAATGGCAAATATTTTAAGTTGTGGTTTTAATGTTTTTTGTTTTTTTTTTCTTATACATGAAGCTTGTGTTTGCCTGGTATTGCACGTAAAATGTCCATATGAAGAATGGTTTTGATAGCACAGGATTTTTGTTTTTGCCAAGTCTATATAAGCCTCTTGAGAAAAATGAGTTCTGTAGTTTAAAAGTTTTAATCTCTCCCATGTAAAATTAAAACAAGTACATGTAAAGAACTCAGCAAAATTTCTTTTTGCTCAGTATTTATTCAAGTTCAGTCTGTAAAGTTTTAAGGACATTAACCTGTTCTTGACAACATATTAAATAAAGGAAAGAAATCAGCAAGTGTTCACAGTATTGAGGTAGTCATCCTCCAGACATTATAAGACTGACCTCGAAGCACCTGGATGCCCTCTTCCTACCTGTAGGAAACTCCGTGAATGCCCCACGCTTTCTCCATCCAGTAAAAGGCCTAAGCAATGCAAGTGTTAGAAAGGGATTTCTGCAAATATGTGCCCAGCATGGAAGGCAGCTTACAGTTTCTCAGAATCAAGATAGTTGCTCCTTTAATTTCCTCTCACTGGAAGGCTAAATATTTTCCTTTAAAAACATCTTTTAAAAATGCCTCATGTCAAAGGAGGCGAACAGCGAATCTTCCTACTTTGGCTGCAGTTGTAGAGTCAGGAAGCTCATCAGACGTCATGGCTATTAAACTGATATGCTTGACGGTTGTTAAACAAAACTGAAGGTTGTTAGGAATGCTTTTGTGAAATTTTTGAAAACTGGATCTCTTTTTCCACGAAGTTACGAAACATCTTTTTGAAAGTAATTGTACAGTTGCTGAAGAAGCCTTCCCCAGAAACCTCAAGCTTGCTTGTGGTTTGAAACACAGGCAGTGTCGTTTTTTTTGAGGGATCTTTGTGTGCAGCAGGACTGCTTAGTATTGTGGCTTCTTAGATGATTTTAAACTATGTCGTTTAAGCGTGATGACTTGAAAAGCAGGTTTTTGTTTGACCTTAATCCTAACTTCATTCTAATTTAAATCACCTTCCTCATCTAGCCCATTTCTCTGATTCTGACAACTAATGACTAGGTTAATTGATGAGGAATGATTCACCAAGTGCTTCTTTCATGTTTGGTACTATTCCTCACCTAGATCTTGAGGGGAATGCCTTAATGAACAAATGGAGAAGATGAGCGGTTTATTGATTTTGACAAATTAGTCTCCTATTTAAAATAAGTCCTTGTGGCTTGAAGTGGTCGCACAGCCATTACTATTCCAGATGAAGTGTATGCATATTGGTTTGTGAAAAACAGGAGCAGCTCCCTGCCTTCCATGGCTAGAAGGCAAAAGAGGTTTCGTAAAAGGTTCAGAATGGGTGTCCTGTGATGTGGAGACAGAGTCTTCCAAGTCCAGAACTGAATATTGGTTCTGAATCAGCAGCCCTGCTGAAGTTCTACCAGAACAGGTTCTAAAGACAGTGCCAGTTTCTCTGCCTGTAGGTTTTCTACTCCTCAGAGCTTTTGTCTCTTCCTGGTTCCTGTCATGGTCCAGTAGAGTGAATAGATCTTCATGCAAGTGCTGCCACTTACTAGTTATAGCAAAGGGAGGTAAAATTTTAGCTTCATTTTCTGTATTTATAAAAGTAAGTGATATTTGAAAAGTTGTGTAAAGTGCGATTATGCCGCTAAACGCATTTAGCTCCGTAGCAGGCATTCGTAAGTGGTGTAGGTGCTGCCTTCATCCTTCGCTATTGCTGGAGTACAGTACCTCTACATCTTAGGGGAGAGGTTTCTTTAGGTTCAGGTTTTCAGTCCTTGGTCAGCTGGCTCCAAAGCAGAAATGACAGAGTGGAAGGGTCTCATGTAAGAGAACTGCTCCCCCAGTGGCCCGAAAGAAGAGAGGAGCCAGAAAAAGAGGTGCACCTTCCAGGCCCTGCCCTGCGAGATCGCCTCTTACCAGACCCCTCCGCCATCTGCTCTTTCAGCCTCTGAACTCATTCATTCGTGAGTGAATCTAGTTACTGTTCAAAAGCCCCACCCATGAGCACAGGCGAGTTTGAGGATCTAAACCATTACATGTACTACATATAAAGTGTATTCCGTTGTAACTTTTTAATTTAGAGTCAGGTTTCTTTTATAAACTTGAGTTTTTTAAAAATCATTTTAATATTCAGTGTGCATGAAACCAGGCATGGCGGCGCACACCTGTAATCCAGTCCCAGCACTGGGGAGACTGAGACATGGTCACTAGGAATCCTAGCTATGTAGTGAGACCCTGTACCAAATAAATCATAGAAAAAAAAGTCAGCGTTCAACAGTAAAAGTATATTTTACATTTCTGCTTTATGGACAGATGGAAAAGTTATGTGGTTATACACACTCATAATTGCTAGAAAATAAGTTGGTCATGGTAGCATGTAGTGCAGAATCTTCAGGCTGTGGTTTTAAATGATCAAGAAAAATATGCCACCTGATAGCATTCATCTGTTTATCAAAGAGTTGTTGATGTTGTTACTGTGCATGGACCAGTTGGCTACATCCTGGTGGAAAGGGTTCAAAACCTAATGAATTTTATGCTCTACTGCACTAAAAATGCAGGCAGTTTGGAGTTGCCCTTAACAACCAAGGTAGAAAATGGAGGAGAGAGAAAGGGAAGGATTAGTGGTCATACTTCCTTGTTGCCAAGCTGCTATATTAGTAGAACTTTTTAAAAGGTTTCTTTCAGAGCAGTTTTGGGTTCACAGCAAAATTGAAAGTACAGACATTTATCATTTTCCATCTATTCCTTGCTGCATGCATAGCTGTAATAGAGTGTTTCTAGACAGCAGTAAGTAGGCCTTGAGCTGCGTCCTCGCCTCACAGCGAGCATCGTCGATTGATTCCCTCTCCTCCCCTCTAAGGATGTGTCAGTTCTTTTCAGGTTTATGAAGTCAGAATTAGGTAGTTTGGTTGTAGAGTGTGGAGTACGGTGCAAACCGGCAAACCACTTTACTTTGTTAGGATTCCTGGGTTTTTGGTCCTTCTGCCACTAACTTATCTGTAATCCTGGGTGAACACCTCACTTCTAAGCCTTTTTTTCTTTTAAGAAAGTAAGATGAATGCTGGTCTTTTCCACCTCTTTTACTTTTTGCTGCTGTTTGTAATACTACTGAGCCACATCCCCCGCCCTCTACCTTGCATGTCAATATAAGTTAAAGAGAGAAGAGAAATTTCATAAGCACATGTTACTGTAGTTCCTGAATAAGCTAATGACATAGCTCTGAGATCCTAAGTTTAAAAAGAAGACTTTCCTGGTTGTTGTTTTTTTTTTTTTTTTTTAAAGATTTTATTTTTTTTATTTTTTTTTAACATTTATTTAGTGTGTATGTGGCCAGCTCAGCCCACCAGGGGGCGCGACTGGCTGGCATGTGGTGCTGGGGGATCGAACCACGGTCCCTGTGCTTTTCCAAGCTTGTTCCAAATAGGTGCTTTAGACCACTGAGCCATCTCTCCAGCCCCTCCTGGTTGTTTTCTTACCTTGCACTTTGTCCTTTTCTTTACTAGATCTGGTAAACTTGCAGAAAATGCTAAACAGATAATTCATATTAAGCAGTAATGTCAGCGATAACTTTGTGAGACAGACATAAGTAAAGATACAGTTATGAAAGATGAGTCATCTGCCCTCATGGAGCTCACCATATCATCTTGTTATAAAATACAAAAGAGATGTCAAATTATGCCCTCTTGGGATAGAAGGCCTATCTTAGCCTAAGTGTTAGTGTAAGTTGTTTGCCATGCCACTAGTGATGTACTGTAGGACTATGTTGCTAAACCTGTGAACGTTTCACTTGAGAGCTGCCCGCTGAGTGATGCCTTGGCCTCGTGTGGTCTCCGGCGGGTCCAGAGTTCTTGCAGCATTTCTGCCTGCCTGCCTGCCTGCCTGCCTGCCCTTCATACTGGGAAGCACTAGAAGCTGCATCATCTAACAAAACCAGTCATGATGCTTTTATGTAGTTAACTGCTGACAGGTAGGGGGTTTTTGCATAGAAAGACAGTGTTTTAAGTAGTCTTAAGTTTAAAATACATAACAAAAGCTGTGTGGGCTCACAGACTCTCGCTGAATAATTTCTGCCTTTTCCCTAGGAGCTGTAAAGCTGGTGGTAGCTGTGGCAGTATTTTTATTGACATTTTATGTTATTTCTCAAGTATTTGAAATAAAAATGGATGCAAGTTTAGGAAATCTATTCGGTAAGTCTCTTCTGTTTTAAAACATTTTTGATGTGGTTGCCTAAATTTTTTATCAACTCTCAACGCTGAGTCATTGCTGTTTATTCAGTTTAGAAAAAGAATTATCAGTAAATGTGGTTTGTTAGAATGTTCTAAAATGTGTAAGAAGTCTTAGAATTTAGTATAAAGTAATGAATCTTCTGTCCAACACTTCGAATAAATTTAAAGACTTTTATTTTAAAGTCTTAAAGACTTTTATAAGTAAGAGGCATGAATCATGACTTCTAAGAGCACGTTCTAGAAGCTATAACACCCTTAAGTTTAAATTACTGGGGCTGGAAAAATTGGACCCAAATCTTGCTTTCAGTTACCATGTGATTAGGAGTCACAATTGTGTATGTTAAATATTGGTCATCGAAATTCATCGTTCTTTCAGCCTTCGTTTTCTTTTGGGACCTTTTTTCTTTTTGGTATCCATATGTTTCTATATCGTAAATGTACCATGGCAAGGCAGTTTAACTTAGTTTTTAACAAAATCCCTAAGTTAATGAAATGGAACCAATTTAATGCTATTTTAGAGAATTGTGTATCTTAAGTACCTAATGTGTATTTCTAGTCTATAAATATATTATTATGAAAATAAAGACCTTAATGGTTGTGTATTAAAGTGGCAAGTATTATATTTAAACCTGTATAAAATTAAGTCTTTTGGAGTGACTATAGACCTGCATAATTGAAATTTTGTGATGTTACAGATACTTTTCATAGATCTTTGTTGAGTAAACTTTGGCTCCAATATTGTTTAAAACATTGAAAATTAAGCGTGAGAAGTGAAACTATAAAACCTAAAACCTTTGGCCTAGTAGGCAGAATTGAATGAAAGAACTTTGAGATCTCCAGATTCATGAGTTTTGCTTTGCATGAATTAATGCTTGTACGGGATCCTTGACATTTAATCTACTTTCTCTCTTGTCCAAGCTCAAGACTTTAGTGCTTGGCGAAAGAATCTCTAGAAAGTCTTGGCTAATGCAGGCTCTCATTTGGTGTCTGGGATGTGGCCTGAGATTTTGTGTTTTTTGTTTGTTTGTTTGGGTTTTTTGGCCTGAGATTTTGCATTTTTGAATATACTTTGTGGTGGTGTTGAGATTCCTGTGGTTGGACCACATTGTGAATAGCAGGGCTACAGATGCTTTTGATGTCTAACATTGCAGGTGGATTTCTTGCTAGGACTACCTAGAGTCCATCTTCGTGTTACTTTTAATTGTCTTTTGTACTCTGTCATGGTTTATGTCTGGTTATCCCCCAAAAGCCTTGGGCAGTCGTGGGGGGCTTCTAGAGTTTGTGATTAATACATGATCGATCCAGTGCAGGGATTGCAGGTGTGAGTGCTACACTCACTGTGCAGCAGGTGATTTGCATTACAAATGTAAGGAGGGGAGAGAGGGGCTAGCTAGCTACCACTCCCTTTGTTCTTTGCTGTTTTCCAACACCTTAAATGGCTGCTCTCTGCCAGGTGCTGCTCTGCCTTAGAGCCGCCCAATGTGGACTGAAACCTCCACTAACTGTGAGCTAAATAAGCCTTTCCTTCATTTTAGGTGTCAGGTATTTTGTCCCAGCAATGAGAAAAAAGTAATTGAGACATTCTTGCAGTTACTTTCAGTCCTTGATCGTGCTTCTGCCTGCTGGAATGCTCCTCTGCCTCATGTTCTCTCAGCTAGTTAGCTGTATCCATGGCTCTTCAAGACCCCTTACTCATTTTCCTCTTTTCAGGTAATGGACGCCTCCTTCACATTTGCTCGTCTTGATGTATTGATCATTTTCTTCCTGACTTGGCTGTTTTTAAGCCCTCTTCTTAGAAGGAGGTACTGAGGTCCAGCTTAAAATGGTTATTGCAAAGTAGAGTGCAGCTTCTCTTTACTTGGTGTAGTCTGTGCATGTTGATTCCTACCAAGTGCCCGCTGGCTGCAGTGGCCAGGGGCAGAAACCACATGGATGACGCTGAAGTTTTGTGCGTTGTTGCCCTGGAAATGCAGTATATCCCTGACCTTCCTAAGAAATGTGTGGGTTAAGGGAAGGTCATTATAGGATGGTAGCGTGATGTAGAAATAGGTGTTTTTCCTTTTTAAAGAAGCAGACTTTTCACTTACCTGTAAATGTTGAGTGAAAACTCTGACAAATCAATGAAAAGAGACTAAACAGATTTTAAAAAAGGAAAAAAAAGACAGTCCTTGAGCAAAGGGAGCCAGTGGAACCATTGGTACAAATAGAATAAATATTTGGAGAAAGGCTAGCTACTTTTAGAGGCGAGTGAAGAAGAGGTTGGGTGAAGCTGTGTTTGGCACGGTTGTTGTGCACATGCAGTTAGCTGGCGATCCCCTCCAGTGATCTGCCCCTGCCCCTGCCCCTAGGCACTGTCCCCATCCTAGTCCATCCTGTTTTCTTACACACTGTGGTACTATCCCTTTGTCTCCTTGTCTTTGCTGTATGTGGATCTCACCACTCGCAGCATCATTCTTGGAAACGCGTGAACCTTTAGCACTTTCAGTCCCTGGAGAATAACATACAAAGTTTGTGGTCACTGGAGATCCACTGAGAGGCCAGCCTGTCCTTCTGAACTGTTCTCTGCACCTGCCCACCTCGGGTGCTGCCCTTGCTCTGCCACAAGCTGGCCCCGTCTTTTGGTGCGTTGGCCTTGGCTCGCGCTGAATCCACACCTTTCTCATCACCGTGTCACCTCTTGACCATCTCACTCTCCAAAACTTGATATCAGTGCCCCTCCTTAGAGATTTGCTTGCACCTCCTTCTCTGCTGGAACGTATCACTCCTTTTTTGAGCTGTTGTTTCTAATTGCATTGTACCTATATCATTTTAGCACTGCTCTTACTTGGCTTTGCACTATAGAACCTTCCTTCTTTTTCTTTCTCTTGTGTCTATCTGCCCACCAGAGGGAGGGCAGTAACATCCCAGTGCTTCACCCCGCAGTAGGAGTGGGCCCTGCAGATAGAGATACTGATTGAGGTTAAATGAATGTAGGTAATTGAGGATTCAGGTTTCTATGTGAAAAAGAAGAGTATATCCAAGGTGGAAAAATGAGGGGTAGTCGTTGAGAACAAATGCTCAGTTCTTTAGGATAGTTACTGCTCTTGATGTTCATGTAAAGTTTTCCTAGTGTTAAGTAACTGCAAAGTGTTATACTGTGCATTGTAGCTATTTAATTTGAGCGTCCTTAGAGCAGATGCATGTGTTGATGTCAGAAGCAAAGTCATACTTTATAGCTATAAAACCTTATTAGATTTTTGTCTGTTGGATTGGTGAAAATTTAATTTGCGGGGTTTATTTTATTCTCATTTAGACTATTATCAAAATGAATTGTGTTGTCTTCTGTGACTTATTTAGTATCTCAATTAATGGCAGGGGAAAAAGTATAGCCTACTATTGGACTAGTTCGTATGATCGGTATTCTAGTTCTTGTAGTGGTGAGTTTTCTGTTTTTTCCCCACTTGTTAGTATAACAGCTTACTCGAGATAGCTTCTGTAAGTCATTATGACTCAGATTTAGTGTGTAGTGTTTTAGAAAATTAAAACAAAATTTTTATTGAAACTAGTTGAAATTACAAAGCAGATGGTGATTTTTTTTTTTTTTTTAAACAATATTTTGGTGTGGGGTGTAGTTCCGTGGTAGAGCGCCTGCCTAGAATGTGTGAGGCCCTGGCTTCCATCTCCGACACCAAAAACCAAACAGGAAACACAAATGTACTGAGAAACCAAGCCAAAAGACAAGTATTTAATAAAACAGTTTTGATAATTGTAAAATTACATACAATAGGAAATACTGGGAGCCAGCCATGCTGAGGCATACCTGTAGGCCCAACACTCAGGAGGCTGAGGCAGGGGGATTGTGAGTTTGCAGCCAGCCTGGGCTGTGTAACAAGCTCACGGCTAGGAGGGGCCTTGGTGCGTGTGTTAGGCCTGGGCTGCATTCCTGGATGGTATCCTTTCATGATTGAAAGTCACCTAGCTGTGGGGTTTCAGCTCCTAGCGTTCTCAGGATGACGGGCCTAGAGAAGACTTCTAGTGTTGGTGGCTACAGCCTAGCAGTGCACCTTCACCTGTGAAGAAGTGTTTCATGAGTTTCTTTATCATCAAATGTCATGTGCTGCCCCTTGCACTTCCATGAAATAAATGGAAGTGATGTTTAGTTAAAAACAACTGTACTGTGCATGTCTGCTGGTCTGTGGAAAGGAGCAGATAATTTGTTTGTCTCCTTTCTCCAATTGTTTGTACTATTTTTCTTCTTAATGTCTTATACATTTCTTGCTTCTTTTTCCCCCTTCAATTTTACATGCATATAGCTGGTAATACGGATAACCAGTTGGAAGACAACAATGTATTACAACAAATAACTGTGAAATTCTTAGTACCTTAGGTGAAATTTTATATCACTTGTATTTTTTTGTTTTAATTCTAATTTGTACTTTAAAAAAAATTCTTGATTAATAAACTGATTTCCCTTTGAATTGAGTGGCAGTCATTGCTTTCTCACTTCAAATTTTATAAGCTAGTATGACCAT